TATTTTTGCTTGTTTGATTGGCAAGCAATCCCTCTTTATCCTAACTAGATGTTCATAGCCATAGCCCGCTAATATGTTCAAAGCATACTAGATATTCTAGCGGGCTTCGACACAACAGGAGGACGCCAGCCATCATTCACTAAAAACTGCGCGAAAAGCACTAAACATGTTTTAAATCGTGTACATGGCATTATTAAATGAACTAATTGTGGACAACAAATTTCATTTGATGTAAAACTATCTATCTTCAATAATTTAGTTGTAAGAGGCGGAACCAAAAATGTCGAAATTTTACGTATTTCGAATTTTCAAGGTTAACAGTAAAAATCAGATCTATGACATCGAAGTGACTTTCAGTCTATTCTTACAAGAAATTTGAACAAAAAAAAGTTTTTAGAAAATTTTGAAAGTGTTCCAAAACTTTAATTTGAAGGACTGTACTTTCGAAATTGAAAGAATGCTTTTCAAAAGTGCAAGGCTTCAAGTCCGGTCAGATGGTTCAGGGAATTTTCATTTTGACATAGATATTACAAATAGTTTCAGCACTAATGAAGTTCATGGATGAAAGTTTTTAAAAAATCTTTTGCAGTATTGCGGAACCACAAAAAGTTAATTCTTGTTACGCCACATATTAGAGAAAGTAATTTATTGCAAAAAGATAAAGATAAATCCTCTTTACTGTGTCAGGAAGCCTCCAAACGAATTTTTCTGTCAAAAAGCAGTAATATTCTCCACATTACAGAACTTTCTACCTTCTAAGTATATTACTCTGTATATATGAAAGTAAAATTAAAAACAATTTCAATTGGGAAAAAACTATTTCACAAATAAAGTAACAATCATTTGCAAAATGCAAATGATACAAAAATCTGCTGTTTTGAAAAATTACTGTCCAACATAATATTAAAAAAATTTACCAACATTATGATAATCAGAATAATAAGTACATAACGAACACATTCCCAAACAAGTTTTATATGATAATATGCTGTTCTCAAAGCATTTGAAGTGCTCAAGAATTCATTCAGATTTGTAGGTACCTGCAGAGAGTTCTCAGATCCTAAACGGAAGCAGCAGTCGAATACAAGCTACTTAACAATTTATCTGGAAAAGGGATCAATAACCAGATGTGAAAGAAAGGGAAGGGACGCTTTCTAATGCATCAGGAAAGATGGAGCCCTTTCGAATTCTTTCACAATGGGCGTTGTTGATTTCAACTTGTTGTAAACTCCTAAAATTTACATGAACATACCATATCAATGTATGGGAATTGATTACTTCGAAATTTGTCAGAGAAGCAAAGAGAAAATTGCAAGTCTTCCATGAAATCTGTAACCATAATAATTTTTGTTTGCATGTTTATCTTGTTTTTATTCTATTCAGTTGTTAAAATTTCAATTTGCTACAAACCTTATACACATATTGCACAAGAGTACGTTAATAAATACATAAAAACTTGTCAACTATTATAACACTGACATAGGAGTCTGAATCGGTTCACTAAGATTTTACAATATACTGTACTTCCAAACATATAAAATTCCATTTGTAAAATTGTGTTTTGGTACCCTACAAATTAATCTGTAGTTTGTTATGATGTTGTAAATATATGCTGATATCTTTTTTTTTTATTAAGTTATAATTTAATCTACAATACACTTTTCTCTTGCTAAAGTTCTCTTCTACCACTGGATAAAACATTTCTGTATTAGACTTAAGTCCGTTTATTAATAATAATTTTAAAAAAAGCATTTGGACAAGTAATCTGTAGTTGCCTGGTAAGGGGAAGAAAACAACTTTAGCTATTCTCTCTTAAATAAGAAAACGAACTGATTCATATTTTGTTTAATAAAAATTTATTAAATTAAAATATTAGGAATAAGTGTATTTATCATAACCCAAAAATAAGAAGTGGATAGAGAAATAAATTGTATTCAATTTTTGATATTCTAAAAAAGGTTAATACATCACAGAAAAAACAAGCAATTGCTTCACTAATCAGACTCCAATACTCACCCAGGATACAACTTCAAAAATTAAAAATAGGCACAAAATATCAAAACTATAGCAAAACTTTCTCTTATTTTCTACTGACTATAGAGTTCCGAGTGGCATTCATTTGTGTTAACATCTCGGATGACATGGGTTTTGGCCCAAGTTGTCATAAGTTTGTTAATCAATCTTTAATCTGGCCAGTTGGTTCATGGTATTGTTCACTGATTTTTGTTTACAATTCATGTTATTAATTGATATTCATTTAATATTGTTTGACATTAGCTAATGCTGGAAAGTGTAATGACGAAAGTTATTATTATAATTATTACATGTGCACCTATCCCAAGCTTCTGTGCCACTTGTAAATGGTTAATATGTAAATAATAATAATATCAAGTAAAATGTGTTAATTCAACAAAAAATATTTGGATAAAAGTCACTCTTCTGCTATTTTTAAATTGTCGTAAACTTTAAACAAATATAAAAAATGTCTTTAGATGTGTGAATACCATCTTGTTGCTGCTGCCATAGTAAGAAAATAAAACATACTTTAAAACCAAAACCCGACTGAATAACACAAGTAAAATGTTAACACATTTTTACTGAGGGTCATTAGAAGTACTGATAAACTGTCAGTAATTAATTACTGACAGCTGAATGCAATTGGAGGACCTTAAATTTTAATGAATCACATTAAGTAAGAAGTACATGGAAAATAAAATAGTTAACCACTTGATTTGTTCACATGATAATCCATGGTGTATGATACAAGGTATGGTATACTCAAACAGTTAACATGCAGTGTACAATTGAAACCATTGCAGTGTACAATTGAAAGTTAAAGATAAGATGATTTTTTCTTCCAACAATGTTAGTATCATTTATTTAAAAATTATGAATGTGAAAGTAGCATCTTTGAAATGAAATTTATATCCCAACATTGATAATATAGTTGAATAAATTATAAAGATTGTCATGAGAGTGATGCTTTGTTGAGTTTCTAATATAAAGAATAAATTTCAAACAGAAAAATATGGGCCTCCAAATATAGCAGTTGATCAGTAGAGATCTTATCAACTTCAAAGATGGTTAAAAAAAATGTGTGTTGATATTTTATATTTGCTTAATTCGCAATCTGGTTTAATATTTCTTAAAATACTTCATTTTTATTACTTTTAGTTCATACATAGTAAAAACTCACAGGTTTCAACAAACTTCTTGGAAAATCCTTGATACCTGGTTGCTTCATTTTCAAATACTCTGCTTAGGATGCTTAAAGAAGATTTAGCACATACAAAAGAACTTAATGTTACTCTAACCAGAAACTAGTTTATTACGTTATATATGGTAAACATACAAAGGAAAATCTAAATCTTTAAGACACTGATTTATTATTATATTTTAAAACAAGATGCTTATTCCCTTCGACCTATCTTCTTACTTTTAAATTATTAAGTGAACATTTTCATATTTTTTAACTTCATAACACAAATTTAAACTGTAACTATAATACAAATAATATTTGTTTCTTTAGATTATATAATTATTGTATGTATAAATTACCTCCTTTTGTTTTAATACTATAGATGGAAGTCGGAGTCCCTGCAGGTAGGCACCCCAAATTAATATAAAGAATTATTTTTAAATTAACGTTATTTGCAAAATTAGAAACAAAAACATTTATTAATATCCAAGGTTACTACCTTTGACTTTACAGTTATAAATGGTCAGTGGTCTTGATCACTGGGTGGATGCGAACATACACGGTCTAAGCAAACCACATTACCCTTATGAGTTTATCAATAAGCTCTTTCTAATACAAATGCATGAACACATGGCCATTAATGTGACTTGCAACTGAATCGATTAGTCTTACTGGCAATCAACACTATTTGTAGTAATAGCAATTATGTCAAGTTCAACTTAAAAAAATATTTTAACCTCACACTCATTAATGAACGATTTTCCAAAAGTCCAATTAAAGAAAAATTTTAATTATAAAAGTTACAAATTTTCTCATCACAATGGCTTGGTTATGTTTCCTGTAATACATACATTGAGAAAACGTTTTATCAAAACCCTAATCATTAACATTTTCTCAATTTTTTACTCTGTTCTTAAAATTAGACTTTCAGAATATCATGGTAGAGCAAAATCTGCCATATGTAAATTTCAGGAAAAATTTTAAGCCAAATTTGAATTTTCTTTTTCTTCCTGAAAATGCCTAATTTTGTGCTCATTTACACACAACTTTTGAAATTTCAGGAACCTTCTGTAGCTATCATTTGGGCACAAAATAGACCTGTAACAAAACGTTGACTCACACCATACTGGATAAGTGAGGTTGCTAAGGCTGAAAGGCTGTAGCTCTAAGGGTAATGGGTTTGAATCCTGCCTCTATGGATATTTGATTGTGTGCCTATGATCCATGCATGTTCTTCCTACAATTGTTAGAAAGTGACCTTCGGAAAAAATACTGTTTAAAAAATCAAATTGCTTAAATCATATGATTCCGTATATTGTGTTTTATCTGCCCCAAAAAAAATTTGAGCAGCTTCTGAAAAATAACATGTTCAGGCCTTTTTGAAAAATTTCAATCACTTGCTTCCGAAATAGCAAAGATTTTAAAAAGCTGTACAAGACTTCTCAAAAATCTAATTTTGAAGATTTCTTTAGGAAAACCATCAACAACTTTCAAGAACGCAAACAATTAAATTCAGACCTTAAAAACATTTTTATGAGCAGTTAGCTTCGCTCAAATGTTTGAAATATCCTAAGGACATCGTGTTAACTTCCTCCAAAAAATAAATTACATTAAGATTCACAGGGTCTTGGGGAGATTCTGAGAAAAATTCACTACGGGGAAACCTTGTGTACAATTATAGTCACTACTGCTGTTTACGCTAGTTTTGAAACTTTTCTCTGGCACCAGAGATTGTCAAAATGCATTCAAATGTGACAATCTTTTACCCCATTAGAAAACTCCAATAGTACATTTAAATAAAAATTTAATGATATGAAAATTTTTAAATGCAAATCCCCCAACTCACCACCAGTTTATTTACATAGTTTTTCAAAGAATTTGAATCCTGTTGCCACATTATCAACTCTTCCGATTTAATTTTGAACAATAAGGTTCTCAGAAAGAAAACACATGCAATTCACTTTCACTTTTTAATATTTATAAAGGAATACAGTTCATAAGCATTACGGTCACACATTACTTGGCCTGAGCCTGAGCTTTCCTCATCAGAGTCAAGATGTTGCTCAATTCTTCACGCTTCCTCTTGGCACGGATGTGAGTGCCCAACTACAAACAAATATAGCAAGTTGTAATAAAACTTCATTGATAAAGCATACAAACAAGATGTGTGTGCACTGTATTACATATACATACCCTCCTCTTTAGGAATTTAAGAGCCCTCTTGTCTTTAGAAACCTTCAACAATTCCATGGCCCGCTTCTCATACGGTGCATGTCCACATACTTCTCGAATGAGGTCCCGAATGAATTTTGTGTGTTTCGTTTGGACCTAAACAAATATTCACAAATTAACATATTGATACATGTTTAACCCTAATCCAATGTCAAGTTTTCACTTACTCCTTTCAGACGAGATGGTCTGATTGGCTTTTTGTCCTCTTTGGATTTCCCGTACTTAATTTTAGTTGTCTTGTGACCCTTCCGAAGGCCCACGGCCATTTCATATCGAGGAGCCATGATCTACAACATATCAAAATCATTCACATGCAATTGGCCATCTCCGCTTAGTATTAAACGGAGGTATGTTTTCTCGAGAAATATTAAAATCACATTCTTCAGTGAACTATATACACAAAATATCACTATTTTTACATTTTATGGTTAATCCATAATGGGAAATACTACTCAATACAAATTTGTATTCGTTATCTTAACCTTAAATATTCGGTATTTACAAAAATATTGCTGATCTGAATCATAATGATATGCACATTATCTTATTGCTACACATGTCAGCGTTTAATTTCATAAAAACCTGCATAAAATAATACAAACCTACGCCGATGAAATCGGATTAAAATCCACGTCCCAACACACTTCCTTCCACGCTACGACAACCACCACGAGAAACCAAAGAATGCTGATTTCTGAATACTTAACCGGTTGTTGATCGTCATTTGTTGTGATTCCGGTTTGTATAGATAGCAGCACGATCGTTATGCCGTGCGATGGGATGAAAATTCTTGAACGCGGTTTCTGTCATGGATGATGGTGCGGAGGTTTGAACTTTCAAGTAGGTTGTGGTAAACAACGAAGATGTTATTTTAGTCGATGACGGCCGTAGGTTTGCAAGAGGTTTTTATATTGTAAAAGAGGTGACAAGAAAACGATTGCCAAAATGTATGCCTTGGAAGTTTCAAGTAGATTTCACAACAAGATTTCTCATTTTGTTGATTTAATAGCGCACTTTATGATGGATCCATGGTTGACAGTTTTGAGTCATATGATAGCTTGTTATGTATCAACAATCGAAGATCTCCAGAAGCCACAAGAGAAATTAATTGATTATTTTTTGTGGGGACCTTTGTACATGATAACATTAGTTTGTGTATTTCCAATAGGTATTGTTGGCATTTTGTTATGGTATCTTTTGTGCCTAATTTGTGATCAAGAAAAATGTACCTATGCAAAAGTGATAGTTCCTGCAGACAATGAAGATTCAGATGAAAAACCTCTTGCCTTTACTCTGAAGACGAATACATTCACATTTGCAACAGCCAATGTACTACTTGCTCCAGAATTTTTGAGTAGAATGAATAACTTGAAATCTGTTTATAAAAGAGCTTATAAAATTGCAAAACATTTTGTTGACAATACTGGTAAACCGTTGAGTAATGTTAAACTATTCATTGATGACACCTGTGAAATTAGTAGCAAATTCAAAAGTGTTCAACCAAAATTTCCAAACATTGATTTTTTGTGCCTTCAAGAAGTATGGACTCGTTCGTCAGCAATGATCCTTGTTGATCAGTTGCAACAAGAATTTAGTTATTTTTTGTTTGATGTTGGAGAGTTTTCACCATCAACAAATTACTGCATGTTAGGTAAGGAATATATGTATTTCATCAGCTTTATATTAATAGTAAAGTTTGTTAAAATGTAAAAAAGTTTTTCCAGTTCAGTGAAAAGCTGAATGGTTCAATTTTTTAATAGAATGTTTGGTGTATCAGTAGCGCAACTGACAGGTTTACACTAATTTGATGCATCAGGAGCATCTGTATTTAAATTTATGTAGAAAAATGTTTAATCTGTAAGCATGGTCGTGATATGTTGATGTTTATATTTTATCAGAAATATGGTAACATATCAATAATAATATTTTTGATGCATTGGACTGAATATAATGGTTGAGTATTTATTAGTTTACATAATTGGAATCGTAAAATATCATGCTTGTAGGGAACAGTTTCCTTGTTCAAATATGAAATGCATGGATTTTTTTATTAGTAATGCAGACATTTTCTCAATACAGATATATTTTCAAAGATATGAAAATTTACTTTTAATAGGATTACCAATTGTTTTTATGTTTGGTTGTAGAAAAATGTGTACCCAATTTTTGTGAGAAAATATTTGAAGAATGAAGTATTTTGACTTGTTGTTATCACTTAATACCAAATATTTTCATATTTGTTCTGAAGGTAGTGGTTTGATGTTTGCAAGCAAGAGACCCATTTTAGAAGCAGACTTCAAAACCTTTACCTACAGAGTGGCTCATGCACAATACACTTCACAGGGTGTATTATGCATCAAGGTAAGCTTCATTTGTTATTATTATTATTATTATTATTATTATTATTATTATTATTATTGAATGTATAAAACTTATTCTTTTAGTTAAATTTGAATTTAAAGAAAATATATTTGTTTTGGAAATGATAGTAAAAATAAGTAAGGAAAATATTTGGTAATAGAACATTGCGATGCATTTTAAAGCTGAAGATCTTTTGAAACTCTCCACCCAGATTTCTGTGTATGGAAGACACATTGCATGTTGAAAAGATGGTTTTGGACTTGTATCATAATTTAAATAGATTGTCTTAAAAGTTTTCTTATTGCTGGTAGTTCTGGTATTATGCTTGCTTTTCACCTTTCCTTTCTCTGCTTCAACATTCTCCTTTTCTTCCTCAATGTTATCTTCCTCTCTTCTGCTCCACTGTCTCTTATTCTTTACAGTTCCAAATTAGCATTGGCATTCCAGGTTCCTTATTTTTTTCTCTCTTGTGTATCACTTCCCATCTATTTGTATATGCACATTTCACATTTTATGAGATCAGTTTCATTAAATTTTATTACATCAGTTCTCTGTTGTCTTTCTGTTATCAGTTACATGATCTTTGCTTCTAATTAATCTTCATATTATAATATTTTCTATACCCAGGTACTTTTATACCATGAAGGCTTATTTCGTCATGTTGGGTTTGTGACAAATCTGCATACACAAGCTTTCCAAGGAAAGGAGCCAGTAATTATGTCTCAATTAACTGAAGTGAACCTATTTTTAAATATATTTAAGAAAAAGCATACACAAAAGACTGATATTGTTGAATTTGATGTTATCTGTGGAGATTTTAATGCTGACAACATGTCACCTGGTAATTCATTTTGATTTGTGTGTAATTAAAGTGATTGTTCATTTTATTATTTTTTTCCCATGGAAATGATTTTTCTCTGTTCTTTGTTGGTAGCGGATGATGATGTGCAGACACATGTGTTGTTGATGGAATATAGGGATGTATGTGTTGCAAGACCAGGAGAAGATCGTCACTGGGCTATTGGGACAGAGTTACGCCAGTGGGCATTATGTGATCCGCTATTTGAAGATCCAGAGCAATTCTGTGAAGCCTTGGTGGATGATTGTGAGAGACGTCTTTATGTTCTTGATGCTGATGTAGTGGTAAGTCTGAGTGTTACATAACTGATTTTAAGACTCAAGTGTAGTTTTACCTCTAACTATTAAGCGGTTAAAGAAATATTTGGTTTGAATCTTAAGAATATTTCTAAAAAGAGTTCATTGCAAATTAATTACCTTTCAATGAGTTCACATGCATGAATATTGTTCTGGATATTTTATTAATATGTGGTTGATATTTAGTAGTGTATAATGTAGGGAATATGTCTCTTGATAACATCATTTTTTTTTCTTCATTTTTTTGTTTAGGTTCATAATCGAGAGTTAGTTACTAAACTAGTAAAGCCGGATGCTGATGGCTATGTTCCAGAAAAACGATATGGTGGTATGAGAAGAATAGATCGAATCTTGTATAAAAGACTTCCTCGCACAGAGGTGACAGGTTATAGTTTTGTTACATCATTAGGAAACCTAACTGATCACATTCCTGTATGTATGACTCTACAGACTCGAGGTTGTGGTGAATTAGCCAAATAGCTCTAGTTGATCTCACAGTTCTTCCTTCAGCTTCAGTTAATTTGAGTGCCCTGTGTGTTTTTTGAGCTTTTCTTTCCATTTGAAATTAAATAAAAAGAAATATTTAATTGGATAGAGCTCACTATAGTCAATAATTTTATTGTAGAAGCTTTATAAATTTAATTCAGAATGGAGTATGTTGTATTTACTGATTATTTTGTTTCCTCACACATTAATGGGGTTAACATTGTACCTGCATTTTAGGAGCTAACTTTCAAAGCTTTATTAAGTCTAGTGCATGAACAGGTTGTTACCTAGTTAATTCAGTGAAGAGAAGGTTAATTTTAGGAATTTCATTTTGAAACTAGTCTCACTTTCTTCTTTTCCTAATTTAACAATTATGGATAGTTTGAAGAGTTGTAACAGTTCATGTACAATATTATGAAATTATTTATTAACAATGCTATAAGTACTTATGTATTAAATATTGTAATACTGCACAATCCACAATGCAGTTTGGCCACAATAAGAACTGACACAACTCAGCACTCCCATTAATTAATGTTAATACATTTATTAAGTAATGTTGATGTAAGCATTGTTTGAAGAGAACTAAAAGATTTATGAATTGTGTATATACAGATTTCTAATGTTCATTTAGAAACTGCGAAAGTGCATTTTATATCAATACAATTCCGAGTTGCTGGTAGACCCTGCTTTGCCATGGGAGAAGTGCTGCTCACTTGCACATAGTTACTGATGCAATGCTTATTTTGTGATGTAGTTGTTAATCAGGGCAGCTAGTGGAAAATATAGAAAAAAACTGTGAAAAGAATCAGCTGTCAAATGAGTGGTGAAATTCAGATGTGTTCTAACATGGGAAGCCTGTATGGGGTCAAAATTGCCTTGTTTCAGCATCCTTAGCAACGAGAGTTGATTCTTCCTCTTGACCAATGTTATGTACATTGCACATTCTCTTGTTTGTTTGTATTTTTTATATATTGTCACATTGTTCTCAGTTCATTAGAAATATGAGAAATTAATAGAACTTAACTTATTTCAAAGAAATGAAACTGTTTAACAGAATTTTCATTTCTATTTAACATTGTATGTTTTCATAATAGCTACCTTAATAGATCTGTTCACTTGTGTCAAAAACTCTTATTTTTGTGTGAAAAATACTTTGTCTTGCACTAAAATAGTTTATTATAATCACCTGTCAGCTATAATGGATGTTAAATATGTTATTATTGAATGCTGAGGGCCCAATTTATCGTTTTTGTAATTCCCATATAGGGAACTTCCATTCCTACTCAAGTGAACAGTTGAGTTATTTTTAATGATTTGAAACTTAATATTCAAATATTTATAATGAATTTTGGAGAATCATTCCTATAGTTTCTCTTGTAAATATTTTATAGTTTTGTACTAGTTTGATTAGTTAATCATGTACTATAATATTTTATTTCTTTAAGCATAAAATGATGAATATTGTTAATAAATGTACTTTGATCTGGAAAATAAAATAAAATATTTTAAGTTCCTTTTTTTGAGGAATGGAAACATTCTTGTTTGTAAATTATTACTTTTATCATTTCCTTATAGGTGTTTTGTAGAAAGTTTATTCTTGGCTATTTTGTTCTGCCGAGCTTCATAATATTGAAATCCCAACTTCCTTTCCTCAACCAATTTCAAGTAACGAGAAGATTGATGATGTACACAAATTTGTTGTCAGAAATGTACTTTTTACATTCTCGTATCAGCTATCCATTAATTATGTAATGCAAATTTGGAGTACTTTGAACATCCCCTCTATCCCCTGTAACATGAACTTGAATCCTCCTAAATAATTACATCATGCTTGCACGACAACATTCTCAAAAACAGTAAGTAAAAATAAATTATACAACAATAAAACAATTTGTTTTACTTTTATTTGTGTTGTATACTTAAATTTATAAAAATTAAACTTTGAATTAGTTGGCAAAGATTGGGGACAAATTTTGAGTGAAGGGAGGATAGGGTTGTCAAAAGGATAATAGGACAGGAACAAATTCAGGACTTCCACAATATGTTTCAGAGCAAATTGTTTATTTTTAAACAACTAAATTGTACATCAAATAAATTGTATAACAAGGAAATAGTATATAAAGTAAAAACTAAATAGTAGATCAAGATAAATTACATTACATACTTTCAAGAATAAATTGGTGTTTACTCTTTTTCTAGGATGAATTTCCTCGACTTTTCCAGGTTATCAAGGTCATTTCTGTATTTTTCCATGGCAGAATTTGTGAAATACTTAAGAGTATTTAAAGAAAATATTAAATAAAGCAAGTCTGGTTGATATTAAAACATGTTGTCTAGGATATCCGGGACAAGCCACGTCACTGCAATGGTGGCTAATGTTTCGGCCCACATATTGTGGCCTTCTTCAGAGCATACTCTCTGAAGTGTAGTGAAAGTGAAGAGCGTACGCTCTGAAGAAGGCCCCAATACGCTGGTGGAAAGGTTAGCCACCATGTCAGTGACGCGGCTCGTCCCGGACAGCCTAGACAACACAAACTCCAGCCGCGGAAACCTACGCAACAATATTAAAACATTGTTATTGACTTTCCCTTTTCTCTTCTTTGTATTCCAGTTTCTCTTGCATGAAAACATTGTGAAAGTCAGATGCATTGTGATTCAAATCACATTATCTTTCTTTATCTATTTCTCAGATTGGGCCTTAAAGAGACAAATATAACATTTACTTATCAAAAGGATTTAGTGCATAGTTTACAAGTAGTCCCAAATCACACGTTTTTGTAGAACACTGTGAAATTATAACAGGGTATAAAAATTCAGGACTTTTGGCAGAAACGAAAAATCTATCAGAATAGGGGGTAAGATGTCAAAATTCATAACATATCCTGTAATTTCAGGATGTAGAACCCTAAGGGAGGAGAACATTTTTGACAACTGCTGTCATGGATGACACATGGTCCGCAATCCACTGCGCCAATTTAATTGGATTCTAGAACACACTATAGGTCAGTTTTGAATATTTTCTTTGTAATCTAACAGATTCAGTCAATTTATCATTGATGAATAATTATTTCCATTTATTTTAACATTTTATATATCATAAATTTTTGATTTATACATTTTAGTTTATTATATGTTAAGTTAAATATTATTTTCTAATGTTTTAGTATAATGCAGAATCAAAAGGATTAATTTCAGCAATGTTAAAAAATAAAAATGTAAAAAAAAGTCAGCTTTACTGACACTAAATAACAGCTGATTAAAAGTAATGCAGGATTAACTGTTCAAGGCTTCTTCTCACTGTTTTAGCGTTATGGTAATTTATGATCCCATCTAGCACAGATAGAGTAATTATATAATGTTGCAAATTGTTGTTGAGATATTTGACAGAAAATAAACCCCTTCCCACTCTTGATGTTGAAAAAAAAATGTTTTGAGTCAAATCACTTTCTTCCTTGTTTATCCACTGAACATAAGAGACTTGCTACTAATAGAAACTCTGTGCTAAATTTTGGCTCTTAAAAATAATTATTTCTCCAATTGGTTTTGGCAGAACTGAGTCCTACAAATTTGAAATGAATTCTTTTTAATTTTTGGCAGTAACTTTCTATGAAGCGCTAGGATATTTTAACTTTTCTCAAAAATGATAAATTTTTTTTACTTAACATGGAGAAAAATTTGCTTATGAAAGTGACACATTTGATTTTCAAAAACATCATTGAAATTCCAAAAATTGCAAAAGATAAAAACGTTTGGACTGCCTCCTCCCTCTATACTTTACCGAAGAAAGACTTTTTGGAATGGAAAGTTTTTGAAAATAAGACTTTTAAGTAGTGTTACGTTAAATTTTTTTATAAGGATGAGTGTTTTTTGTGTTATTTTGAGTGAATCATAATTAAAAAGCTTCAAAAAACAACCTTGAATTTCATAAATAGTGAAATTGAAAAAAATGTTTTTCAAATGTATTTTACACTTCAATTATTGTTGCTGGAAATTCCCTTAATATTAGACTTTTCAATCATTTTATACATAGTTGTTTCCAAACAGTAGCTTTTGTCTAATTTTGAAATACGTCATTTGATTTTTGCAAGTGATGGATGAAGTTAGTAAAATAGAAGGTGCAATTTTATAATGTGTAAAGAGACAACATTTGTGCAGTTATAGCACTGCCAGTTTGTTTTCTGTAAAGAAAATGGTTTCTGATGATCAATCTTTTTTTGGAATGGGTATCTGTATTTATGGAAAATACTCAACTATTTTGAATTGTAAGATTTATTGTATTGTAATTTTAGATATAATCTAAGGTTGTATCCACACCTATTTATGTATCATTTGTGGTTGTGATTCAATGGCAGCTGCAGTGAAAAAGGTATGGGTGAGCTGTCAAAAACTCTTTAATTAGTTTTATGTTTGATCACACATTAATTTCTTGTAATTCCACTTTCAGAAAGCTTTCATTTGCAGTACTTGTTTTTTATTGATTGTATTTTGAAAGAGGAAAGAAAAGATTTAGGTTTATTTTAAATTGTTTTTTTTTTTTCTTTTGCTCTTACCAAATCCTGTCATTAATAATTTCAACAAGGTTCATAATGTCTTTAGGTGGTGTATGATAAAAATTAATTTAAAATTTTTTAGAACTTAATTTGTGCCATTGCTTGGAGTTAATTTTTTTCAAATGAATATGTAACAATCATAAATATTGTCATGGAGTTGGGTAATAAAGAGGTCTATAGGTGATATAGACTCCCATAGACATATATTGAAAACATTATCAGGGAGTCCTCAGCAGCGAACTGTTGAATGTTATAGTGTCTGCTGAAATAGACACAGTTATGTATCAATGAAATGGTGAATTCATTGTTGAACTTTATGAAAATAAATTTTAATTGCAACAAGTTTTGAAGCACTAAAAATTTTTGAAATATTTGTTTAAAACTGCCACAAATATTTTTTACATATATTGTGCAGCAATCCCAAATGCATCACAGGTAATACCACAAGTGCTTTGGAAATTGTTGATGAATTCCTTACTCGTGAAGCAAGGAGAAAATTTATCTGAGAATTTTCAAAGCACGAGTGGTATTTAATAGTAATTCACAAGAGATATTATGTCCAACAGAATTCCAAACTGTGCCAAATATTGCAAATACTTGAAAGCTATGTTAAAATCACATGCGATACAGTGATCGATGTAGTAGTATTCTGCCACTTAAGATAGATGAGTCACAGTTTGATTGGCCAGTAGGAAAAAGCAGTAAGAAAAATTGATAAACTTTTTGAGATACACCACTCTGATTGGGACATTTTGTATGTATAAAGAAACACTGTTTTAGTTTCATGATGGGTGGGATAGTCGTTGTAAATTTATTTGTTGTGAATTAATATATGTAATCGGTTTTTAAGAGAAATTTGGGGCTACATTTCTTTATCTTTCTTATAAAATCATCATCAACATGAACTGATCAGAAATTAGGTGTTACAACCTGTTTCTATTGGATCTTATATAATATTTTCTTAAATTAATGTTACTGAATTAGAAGGTAATTATTGGTCCTGAAGTAAAAGCATTTCTACTCTGTAGCAAAAAGATGTTAGATAACTATTGAAATGCAAAGAGGAAGATTTATAAATCAGTTTACCATTATGTAATTGGGGGATTGTTTTCAGAAGTAATGAAATTTTATTTCTTTCACTTACTTTTGTGTTACCGTGCTTTCGGTATAAAGAAGTAACTTACTGAATTTGCTGATGAAAATACAGTAAGCCAAGTTATGTAATAATCTTCTCAATTAGTTGTTTACAATTTTTAAAATGCATATAATGATAACCATGGACAATAGACGAATGCAGTGTATAAATAAAAACACTTGCAATTTTTCCCATTTTCAATGTTTTTCTTTTCGCTAATAATTATATTCATCATTGTTTGTCTCTTACATGGAAGAAGAAAAATTATCAAATTTATCTAAGTCATTTTTTTTTCATTAATATTATTGGTGGTAAGTTAGCTTGCACATATTAAATATGTTTGATTGCACAAATATTTTGTATTTTATTTTAATACTTTCAATGTTTGGGTTAGTTGTTACAAATACATAATTTTTCATTTCTTTACTACGGCCATGGATGCCGTGCCTTTTTCCTAGAAGAAATTGCTATTTCATTCTTTAATAAAGATTCATGAGATGAATTGATTAAAATGATATTTGAATAATGCGCTCCTTACAATTTCCTACCCTCATTCCGTCAAACGTCACGACCTTGGAGGAATCATCATGGCCTGATCATGGCCGCGATGACAAATACTACGAAACATTATTGCGGCGCATTTATGTTTACAAAGTGCTAATTTTTAAATATTTATATGTGTCATACACAGAGAGTACACAATATGCTTGATTAGGTAAATGTAGTTTGAACTGCATTGTCAAGTGCGTCGCTGTGACTTACTCAATTTGTATTATTTTTTCACTATAGTGTTTACCGCAGAACTTTTTTCGGCAGATATTGCAAAAATCCGTCGATAACAATTACTAGTATGATTATTAGAAATTATGATCAGTGTAGGTACGCATGAAATAACTTTTTGTGCCCCACATTTTGCGAAATTTCCGTTTGTTTTGCAATTGTAATCACAAGAAATGACATAACCTTACCATAAATGGCATTTCACCTCGAGTAATGTCAAAATAAAAAAGAGTTGGATCGCGATAAAAGCTAGAATGTAACTTTGACGTGAAACTTTTTGTCGGGAAATAATCAATAAAGGGACGTTATAAAGTTTACTTATGATATAAAGGAGGATTAATAAAATTGTTTTGTACCTTTGTGTTTGCTCTTGTTTTGTAATAAAGGTACCTACCGCCAATGATCATAATAATTCCAAGTTTATATGTATATAGCAATATAATAATGATATTTTATGTTATCTAGAATAGCATGACGTTAAGGTTTTTGTTTTTTTGTAATTCAGGCTGTGGCATGTTAGTAATTCTGAGAATAATGCAGAAGATACATGACATGAAATTTCGGTGATTGATACATCAGAATGGATGACCGTCGAGTAGCAGATTATTTTGTAGTAGCAGGTTTACCTGATAATCCTCAAAGGTTAGAGGATTTTTCAAGAGATGGAGCCCACCTTAAATCAACACACAATCAAGCACCAATTACAGATATTGGTATATTTTTTCCAACATTGGGAGAATCTCCACCAGAAGATTACATAAGTGTAATTGCTACGCCTACAGGTTAGAACATGAGTTTGTGATCTTCCTCTCTATTTTACCTTTTTGTCTAATAAATTGGGATTTTAATTGTCAACTTTACACAAAAACTAAAACTCTTTAGGATTTCCTGCTGACTTAAATCATGGCAGCTTACGAAGTCCAGAAGTATATTTGTGCTTTAAAAGAGGAAGAGATAAACCTCCCCTGGTGGATATAGGGTTTGTATAAAAATGCTTTTAAAGCTTGTGAAAGACTTCATTTCTTAGAAAAGCAAATATACCAGTTTTATGTGTTTCTAGGATAATGTATGAAGGCAAAGAACGGATCATGCCTGATGCAGAATTTGTTGCATTTTCGACTGGTGGTCGACCTGCTAATGTGAACAATTCGGGAGCAAAAACCTATGTTACGTATCGACGTGCTCTTCCAACAATGCCTTGCAATGAACTTGTAGTAACTGATATTTGTGTTATTCTTAGTAACAAAGGTGAAGTTCCACCTCATGCGTTCTGCATGATAAACAAGAACTTGAATAAAGGCATGGTAAGTAATAGTATTACCATACAAGTTTATTATTTTTGCAGAAGGTTCTAGTTCTTAGTCTTCTTTTAAGAAAATTGGTGTTTCATGGTTAAATAATCTGGAAAATTTGGGAAAAAACTTTCCTTTGGAGGATTTTAAGTAAATTAGAACAGTAGATCTCATGGCTCCAATACTTTGATTCAGTATTGTAAGAGTTAAACTCACATTTTGGCAGTGGCGATGGTGTAATGGTTAGCATATCAGACTGTTATACTCAAGCTCGCGGGTTCAAACTCATTCCAAACCGTGGATTTTTAAGGGCGAAAAAATCCTTCGTACACCTTCCTTCAGAGAGGAAGTAAAGCCAGCTGGCCCATGTTAGTAGATTTACTGCATGTTAAAGATCCACAAAGCTTAAATGAAGTCTCTGAGCTAAATCCAAATTGCCTGTTATGTCTCCCAATAATTACCTCTGTTGTCTGCTAGTGTGTGAAAGGTGCGAAGCAAAATTTGCGTGTTCAGAAGGAAGCGTAAAATAAGGTATCAATTCAATTCAATCTTCACCGAACCACAAGCCATGTATTGTTCAGCAAAATGTGTCTTATCATTGTTTATAAATTTCATGTAAATATTACAGAGTGCATCTGTTGAATTCAATTTAAAATTTGAAATTCTTAACTCCATTACTTTCCCATTCACGTCTCTCATTCTGTGAAAATGTACACAGTGAGATGTCCTTGTATTCATCATCGCCATTTTCATCATCTTCTACTTCTTCTTCTACAAGCAATCTTCTTTTTCTGGCATCTTATCCTGAGCATCTTCCAGATTTAGGTTCCTGCCATTGCTCTTTCAATTCCCTGAATACCAATTGCAGGTAATCTTTCCCTCTTTCTCTAACTGGCCAATAAAACAAAGTTGTTTCTCTCTTTCTACTGATCCTGCCAAACCATGTTAAGTGTTCAATATGGTGGAAAATAGTGTATGTTTTGGCAGTTCATTCTCTTATTTCTGTGCTGGTGATTTGTTCATCTATGGATATCCTGGAGGCTCTTCTCAAGGAATCCATTTCTACAGCTTCAATCTTTTTCTTGTTTTTCGTCATGATAGTCCAACATTCCACTCTGTATACTGTAATAGGTTCAATGATGACCTTAAACATGTTTTATTTTTGTTTACCACCCAATCTTTGATGACCAAAGCAATGGATTTAGTTCTTATGTAGTAACTCTACCCAGATTTATACGTGACATATGCCATGTTGACATGACTTCTGATTGATGATAATTGCAAGATGTATTTGTCACATTTTTGAATGCCAACAGTTGGTGACATCCTAAGATCTTTCCCATCTTTTCCTATTGAGAGGTATTGTGTCTTCCTCATATTGATGTACAAACCTCTTACATTGTATTTCTTAATGAATTTTCTCATCGTATACCCAGTGTCTTCATCATTTGTCACTACTACCTGGTTTTCAGCTAACAAAAGTGTAAACAAGCAATATTTGTTTATTTCTATACCTGTACATTTACACTTTTTCTTCCAATTTTCTTGAGCAGCTGTTAAAATATTTGTAAATAAAGTTGTGTGCAGGTAACATTCTTGCTTTAGACCTTTGGTAATTTCAAATTGCTGAGATCTTTCTATACCTATTTCTATTATTCCTTTAGTGTTCTTATATATGTCGTCCTCGTAATCTCCAGATTAAATATTGTGACATAGAAAATTGTGTTTCAAGTTCATCAAAAATTTTTAACCTATGTACTGGACAAATTGATTCAATGTAAAGAGCAGAAAGACATTTTGAAGAGTTACTTATAGGCTGTATTTCGTATTGTTGATAATTTTTGTAATGCTTTAATTACATGTCAATATTCTGGATATGGTATAATACTTCACCCTGTGCAATGATTACCCAATCACCATTATTATTGTTAAGAACAATTGAGAATTAATTATTTCTTTATCATCATGAACACATCATTTATATTGCGTTTTTATTACAAGGTGAAGGTACAATTACAATGTATGGCATTTCAAAGAATGGATGTATAAGCGTCTTCAAACAAATTTACTAAATTGTACAAAATATATGAAAAATTATGTAATTTAAAAATTTACGAAAAATATATGTTGCTAATAAAGAAAGAACATAATAATGATAGGCATGTTATGAGGAATGACATTTTGCCAGTTAATTCTTTATATTTCAACCATCAAACTGTGGTAAAATTTAATCCTTGATGTCCTTAATATTTTGGAAACAAAAAAAAAAAAAATTTGTTAATTGATATGGACACACATGTATTTTGAAAATTATATTAATAACTGAGTTGCTACTTTCAAAATAATGATTGTTTAATATTATCTGGACAGATTTTTCATTTAGTTGCCCTTGATCTTTTGAGCAGGTGTTGAAATGGCCCCCTTATTTTGCTTCTGGACATAAATTGATCTTGGTTATTTGCATACATTTTTTTAAGCTTTGTATGGTGTTATTGGAGAATTTAGTTATTTCATCAACACTACCATTATAACATCATTTTCCATGTTCTCACACTAATGCGTAATTTTCATTATCTGGAGCATAAGAGCCAGCTCATAAGCTGTTGCAAAAACATTTTTATTACTTGGAAGTTTCAAATTAATAATTTTTGCACAAAACTACCTTTATTCACAATTTATCATAGGAGAGCGAGGTCTTTCAGGGTCCAAGAAAACGTGCAATCTTTCTTCCAAATATCAGTTTTTAATATGTGTGTATGTATGTTTTGACACAAAATAAAAACAAAAATGAAGAAGAGTAATTTAAAATTTGTATATTTATTGTTTTATTTAGGTTGGATCAGATGTCTTCCTTTGTTATAAGAAGTCAATGAATCGAGCAAATTTGATCTCTTATAAACCAGGTGAGATGAATGTGCAAATTAAATTTCTTGTTAAAAGTGAACATGCAGAAATTATATTTTGCAAAATAATAATACTTATTAGTATTATCTGTGTCTAAAAATATTGGGATTTGTTGCAGGCATCTTAGCACGATACCCTTTGACCGACCATGAGTGTTTCCCTTTTCCCACTTCAGTGCCAATGTTCTGTTTGCCAATGGGTTCCTCAATTGAGTGTTGGCCTGCATCTGCTTCTCAACCACGGCCTGTCTTTTCTACTTTTGTTCTCACTGTGTCAGATGCAGCTGAGAAGGTATGTTTTTGAATATTTTCCTTTACAATTTAAAATTAGCATACAATAGGAAAAATTTCTGCAAAAATATACCAAATTATTCAGGATTAAAATTTTCATTCAGTATCTGTTCTGTAAGAACGTTGTATGGTTTGATAGAGGACAGTTCATATTTCTTTAGACTAGTGGAAAATGACAAATGATAGATACAAAAATGTATCAATGAACAAATCTCATTATTGTGTGAAAGAAAAGTAATTAAAGATGTGAAGTTAAATTATTTAAAAAATTTATTCATAGTTTTTCAGATGTAGAAGTATTGTGTGAATTTTGTGAAGTTGTTTTGTAATTTTGAACTGTTGCTAAAGATAGTAAAGTAGCTATTTAATTGACTCGTATTGAAAAAAAAAAAAAAGTATTTTAAATGTGAATGCCTTTATTTTGTAGGAGAGAATTAATAATCAAAGGT